TTGGTCTTCTCTCTGGCTGCTGGCACTTCTGGGTTTCACTCAGAGAACCAGTGCCATGGCCAGTCAGGAGACCTCTCTCCTGATCAGTGCCGTAGTCATTCAGAAAACAACTTTCCTGATTGCCACTTGTTTGAATGGTGAGGTGATGCTTGGCTCGGCATTCAAGCGTATTGCTGGATCTAACCCAAGCCCCCTGCTGCAGTATTCTTACTTGTGTCTTCCATCCTTCTTTTGCTTCCAGTGTTGCTTTACCATTGCTCCTTTAGTACTTCAGTGACCCTGTGCCAGTGCACCCCATAGAATCCCATGTCTTCCAGAGGCCCAGTGTGCACCTCCATGGCTCCAGTACAACTCAAAGCATTCTTTGTCATCTAGCGACTCTAGCATGCCCCCTTTGCTGCTTTTAACATGCTTCTGCATGTCTTGACAGTCCTACTCTCAGTGGCTACAGATCTCTGTCCATGACATTAAACAGAACAAAAGGGAACAAATAAGAAATGTTAGTTGTTACATACACGTCAAGGGGTCTATTTATAAATGTTTTCACATACGATTAGCACAGCTTTCACACATTTCCCAATTTAATTGAATAAGAAAAATGTGCAAATCTTGTGTGAAAGTTGTGTGAATCTTGTGTAAAAATGTTAATAGATTCAAAGCCCTTTTTGGAAGTGAAGGTTTGCTTTAAAGGTGAATTATGGGGAGAGTAAAATACACTCATCCCCATATTTAGAGCCGACGTGTGACACTGAAGCTGCCACACGTCGGCTCTATGGATAGAGATTTAAGCAATCATATCCAGGTGATCAGAGTTCCTGATCTTCTCCCTGCAGTGAGTGGTAACTGTCAGTCAATGCTCACTGCAGGAATTCCCCCTCTCCTCTCCATTCCCCCAGCACTGACTGAAGAAACAGACAGTGGAGGTAAGTTGGGTATAGCACTAATGAGGAGGACAATGGGATGGAACATAGAAGTTGGGTATAGCACTGATGAGGAGGACAATGGGATGGAACATAGAAGTTGGGTATAGCACTGATGAGGAGGACAATGGACAGGACATGAAAGTTGGGTTTAGCAGTGATGAGGACAATGGGACAGGACATGGAAGTTGGGTTTAGCAGTGATGAGGACAATGGACAGGACATGGAAGTTGGGTTTTAGCCGTGATGAGGACATGGAAGTTGGGTTTAGCAGTGATGAGGACAATGAGACAGGACATGGAAGTTGGGTTTAGCAGTGAGGAGGACAATGGACATGACATAGAAGTTGGTTTTAGCAGTGATGAGGACAATGCACAGGACATGTAAGTTGGGTTTAGCAGTGATGAGGACAATGGACAGGACATGGAAGTTGGGTTTAGCAGTAATGAGGACCATGGGACAGGACATGGAAGTTTGGTTTTAGCAGTGATGAGGACAATGGACAGGACATGGAAGTTGGGTTTTAGCAGTGATGAGAACAATGGACAGGACAAGGAAGTTGGGTTTATTATTAATGAAGAGGAAGGCGTTGTTGGTGGTAAAGGGCTCTACATGGGTCATATGTTATGATTACACACGGCCTCATTTTCCAGGGATATTTGTAGGCGTTAATGAACTTGTAATAATTCATCCGAGTTCCTGTCAGTGTCCTGACATATGAAGCAAGCTGGATATCTACTGTTCAGTTACTGAACTCCTCAGAGTGTAATTCACATGCCTGCCTCTGTGTTTACAGAGCACTCCACCACCGCGAATAACATCTTTACAAAGCAGAAGGTGCGGGTAGACCGCGAACCGTCTGTGGAGAACTACAAGTCCCATGTCTCCTGCTCCCCAAGATCTGCACACAGCACCCCTATGCACTAAGATTTCCCGGGCATGCAGCAGAGTGCTGTATTTTCCGACAGCCGGCTCGTCATCCGGCAGCGGTCACGTGGTGCAGGTGACAGGGCGCGGGGGGCGGGAGTGTCAGCTCTGTATTCACTTTTTCGCGCGAAAAAAAGCGAGGGGCTAAGAGCGGCTGGCGGGAGGTGAGTGCGGAGAGGGGGGCTCTTTGTGATATCGGGGTGCAGGGATAGACATGCTTGTAAGGCAGTGTGCTCTGTGATGGAGTCATACTGGTCCTCAGAGCTTCTGCCGTATAACTGTGTCCGGGCGGGGATGACCATGGCATTACTATCAGTTGAGAGAGGAGAGGAGACTGACCAGAACCGAATGACATTTAACTGTAACTAAACCCGAGAACAAATCTGTAATATAATGTAGCTGACCAGTCCGCAGGTGTCATAGAGTTCCTGCCAGTAATACACTTCCAGTGCTAGAGTGACACCGCTCACAGTACTGTGCCTATAGAGGAGCAGTGTTGTCACTAGGAATGAGTTTGGGTCCATCATGCTTTCAGTCTGAATTAAAGCTGTCAAATGTGTACAGGATTTGGCCAGTTCACCCTCCAAACCTCCCTCTGTTTCCTAGCAACCAGTGACAACAGACTCATCAATTGCCAGGACACAGGCAGGCGCTTCATAATGGCCAATGACAGGACCCAGATAACACAGCCGGCTCCTGAAAGGAAAGCAAAATGGTGGCACAGGACCTGGGGCTCAGCTTGACATGCTGGGCGTATGAGTATATGAGAATATTTATTGAGGCTTAACCTGCACAATAGGTAACAAGGATGTTAAATCCAGGAGTTGACGTTTCTAAAGTGCTGTGTATCATAAACAGGAAGCAGTGTGTATCATAAACAGGAAGTATCGTGTATAATAAATAAGTAGTGTGTTATAAACAGGAAGCACTGTGTATCATAAATAACTAGTGTGTTTATAAACAGGAAGCACTGTGTATCATAAATAAGTAGTGTGTTACCTAACAGGGTCTGTGTCACCTAACAGGAAGTGCCTGTTAAGGACCATAATGGCAGGTTCACCGGGTATTATTTTAATGAAAGCAGCAGCAAAACAACTTTTGAAATGACATTATCTACACGTTAAAGCTTATATGCAATGTTAGTGATTTTGTTTAGACCTACCTTAACAGCAACTGTGTAGACTTTTTCTAGATGTGAACATTTATTTTGGATGGCGGCCAAACTCACTTAGGAGTCACCCTCTTTTGTTTGCTGACCCAAAAAGAAACAATGGAGCCCATTTTATGTGTAAATAAATAAATGGGCTGCTTAGCACAATGCAACGCAAGAATGCTCCATGTTACACGTTTGTGTTACTACAATGCACTGGTGTTAATGGGCCCTCTGGCTGGACCTATATCTTTACACCTTAGAGAAACCATTAAAATAATTTTTGGATTTTAGGGAACCCCTTCTAAAAATGTATAGTGTGATTAGTAGTAAAAATAAAAAAAATAATATATACTGTGTGTGTGTGTGTGTGTGTGTGTATGTATGTATGTATGTATGTATGTATGTA